TAAGACTGATATTCGCCACTACACTGACTAGTAAATTAAGACTGATATTCGCCATCACAGTCAGACTAATAAAGTAAGACTGATATTCGCCACCACACTCAGAGAAATAATGCAGGTTGTCCTCATTCTTGTTTTTCTTAATGTTTACCAATTTATTATTAATGCTAATACATTTATTTGACAAAGACTTTTTTTTTTACAGACAGGAATATAAAAAAAAAGTATGTATGACTTGTTTTATGTAAAAAAAAAAAAAGCCTTTGTTGAAATTCCGAGCAAGTTTTTACAACCACCCATGAACCTTAGTCGACGGAACAAGTTTTTGCTGAGTTTGGTAAAAAGGCATTACAAAACGCAACCTTCCTAGTATATAATTTAGTCCTTGGAGATTCGTGGAAAATGATATAAATGCATTTTAAAGAACGATATTTCTTCATAGATTTATAACTTTCATACATTTATAACTTTCATACATTTCTTCACGTGGTGCGTCAGAGATCAAAGTCAGACATAAGGCGACTCTTGTTGTAGGTCACTGTGAGAACCTGCTTCACTCTGTGCTTGAAAATATTACGTGTAAAAGATGAATTACCACTGAAATACATATTAACATTTATTTCCTATATTATTATTATTATTATTATTATTATTATTATTATTATTATTATCATTATTATTATTATTATTATTATTATTATTTATTATTATTATTATTATTCATGCGCTGCCTAGTTGGGATCTGGCAGCCTTCAACAGCCTCTAGTTGTCAACAGTGTGGCGCCAGGCATTACCTAATGGTGAGGCCGGCTGTGGTATGTTTTGTATCGGCTGTGCTTTCTAGTTCACTCTGGTATCGGCTAAGCGTGTTAGTGATGGTACCAAGGACGCCTGCAAAATGGATACCAGTTTTGATGTCATGTTCCAAATCGTTTTTGTCTCTTCCTTGCCAGATCTTTATACCTTTCTCTTTATATCTCATTTGTATTCCTCTCCCCTTCTTTCTTTTTTTTTTCTTTTCTCTTTGCTTTCTCTCATATTTTCCTGACCCATTTCTCTCTCTCTCTCTCTCTCTCTCTCTCTCTATCTGTCACGTGATCAGTCATATTAATCTCTATATTATCTTTATCTCTTCGCTTTCTTTATCTTTCTTTGTCTCCTCGTTTTATTGTTTCTTTCTCTGCCTCATATTTACCATCTTTGTCATCTAGCCTTTTATTTAAACTTTCTCCGTGTCTCTTCACTTTCTCTACCATTCTTTATTTATTTTATTTACCTCCTAATTTTCTTTAACTTCCTCTTAATGTGAGGTCTGTGCATCTTACATAGGCCACTCAACCCTCCCCTCCCTCTTCACCCCTCACCTTCTCTCTTCCCCCACCCTTCCTCCCCCCTCCTCTCCCCCTTTGAACCGCCGCCGTTCCCACTCGATCATGGATGCTTTTGTGTTTTAATTCGCGTCACTTTCCAGGATTCACCTGTAGTTGGGCGCCGCTGTTACGTCCTTACTGGCGCTGTGTGTGTGTGTGTGTGTGTGTGTGTGTGTGTGTGTGTGTGTGTGTGTGTGTGTAGTGAGTGTCTTGGTGATCTAATCTGTTTGTTAATGTTAGCTTTCATTGTGTTTGTTGTTGTCAGTGGTTGCATGGTCTTGGTGTGGTGCTGTTAAGTCTTCTCTCTTTTCTGTATATTTTTTTGTTATTAACCCCCTCTCTCTCTCTCTGCCATTATTTCTTTCTCTCGTTCCCCTTTCTCCTACCATTCTCTCTCTCTTCTCTCCCTGCCATTATTTCTCTCTCTCTCTCTCTCTTAACACTCAATTTCCTGTCACTTATTTACTCGCTGGTATCATTATAATCGTTATCATATTACCGTAACAAATTATCTGAACAATAAAATGAAAATAATATTAAACAATTTATTAGCAAGTTTATACTCGTGATGTCTAGTGTAACTTTCAGAGATATTTGTAACTTTGAGAAAATATTTTGTAACTTGAACTAACGCTGTATTCTTGGGTTACAGTTAACTCATCTGACAAGGCGTTATTTGGATGCGACAAGCGTATTATTAGTAATGTTATTTCCCATCCCGGTGTTGACATCTCACACACGTAATTTAAACCATAAATCACGTTTTTTAAGCTCTTGAAAGTGGTTAAAGAAATGTGATGATGATAGTTATAATAAGAGCAGGAACGATATGTAGTAATAATGAAAGAATATTAATATCAACGATGAATAATTGTAATAATAATATAATGGCAACAACAACAACAACAACAACAACAACAACAACAACAACAACAACAACAATAATAATAATAATAATAGCAAAGAAAATATTAAGTGTAGGAACATTTCAACCCCCAGTTTGTGTTTACCACAGTATAAAAACAAAAGCAAAACAAGGAGAAATAAAATCCTTAACATCTCAGTGTTTCTTGACCAGGCAACAGTACAATGAGGAATTTTATACCTGGCCAACTTGATTATGTTTTCCTCCTCCTCTTATACAGGTAAAGGTAAACACATCCAAAGGTACACACAACACTAACCACCTACACACAACACTTACTCTTACACACAACACTTACCTCTACACACAACACTTACTCCTACACACAACACTTACCCCTACACACATCACTTACCCCTACACAACACTCCTTCCCTAAAACACACTCACTTTATTCCCCCACACACTCACCTTATCCACGCACTCACCTCACTCCCCTACACACTCACCTTATTCATCCTACATACCTCATATCCTCATACCCCTCATACTTTTTACCCCACATATGGCATAATTCACCATATACAAACCTGTCCCTCACACGCCCCCAATAAACACAGTCCATTCCCTTCTATATAACTTCAAACTCATAACGTCCATTATAAACTCTTCCTTCATTCGTGTATTAAATAAACTTGGTCATTAACTCACTATCATTTTTTATATCTTTCACCATCAACACTATCTCTTCCAGCTTGAGTTTTGTCTGTCAGTAAAAAAAAAAATCGTTAACTTATTTTAGAAGTCTGTTCATTTATTTACTGAACACAGTGACTCGTTAATTTTGCAGTGTGTACTCTGAGCTAACGTGAGAGCTGCCGGGCTGTGAGGAGTGGGCATGCCAGGCACTTATATCATGCAACATATCAATGGAATGTCAGTCACAGCAAGAGGCGGGATGGTAGAAGGAGACCTGGCGGGGACGGAGCGGCGGTAATCTGAGGGGCATCTCTATCAAGTCAGGACCCCAAAAAACACATATAAAAAGTTGATAAGAAATGAGAGTCATGTTAGACTCATCCGAGACAATTTTAACAAGACTGACACGATGACAAAGACGGGGGAGTAATGGTGAACACAGCACCAGTTATGTAGTATCTTCCCCATGATAAATGTTCCAGTAATCGTAGCATCTCTTAGAGTGAACCCGCTCTCTGCCGCAGTTAACATTTAACCATTAACAAGAAGATGAGGCATCGCTAAACGACCCTACCGTCACCCTCACCAAGAGTCAGTTTTCCTCGCGCTCACAACGTGGGTCTCAAGATCAACTTTTTTCGGTGCCTGACTTGATGTTAGATATCGCGGGACGAATGCATGTGGGGTCAGAAGAAACACATATACTCCTTATAGGGGAGCAGGCAAAGCATGCAGCCTCCACTTCTTATCGCGCCAGGTCACCTGGGTAATTCGATATCCTTAAAGGTATAACTGCGTAGAGTGAAGGCATGCTTAGTTTTTGCATTAAAATAATATTCTTAAATTAGCATACACTTGTTTATGCTGGAGGGGAAGTACAGCCGGCAGAAGCTGTGGCAGGTGACGGCTCTCACCTCTGTGCCAATAACTATCTGACTTTCCCATTTACAAGAAACATGAAGAGAATTTCTTGAAAGACAAAGTTTATGAATGAATAAAAAAAAGGAAGACTCTTAAGATAAACCAACTGAAGTGAAAGGCTGGGAATTTGGATATGTGTATTGTGAGAGTTGAGAGTTCGTGACACATCGCTACATGTACTCGCCTCACCTAGTATTGCGAAAGTATATGGAGCAACACGACACGTATCACAAGAAAAAATACAAGCATAAAAAAATCAAACCTATTGCTCAATGTTCGCAGGTAGAGCGTACACTCGGCTAGTGAATACCTGGACCTCCCGGCATGGTGTCCTCAATATATTCTTAAAACTTAATTCACGAAAATTAAATCAGTTCCTCCATGGCCAACAACCGACCCATCTGACTAGTTTCATCAAGATCAGTTAACCTGTGTTAGGGTTTTTTTCTCACACACACACAAAGGGAAAGCAGTAAGCCCTTTCACTATCTGAGTGGAGACAAAGTAGGAAGGATATTTTCTCACAAAACACGAAGTTGTCTGTAGTACTTGTCATTATAGTTCTCCTAATTAACCTGTAGTGCATCCCTAGCAGATGTGACACCTCGCTGGCTGAAACAAGAGACGTGTAACAAATACAGTAAATAAGAGAATGTGTGATCATACACTGAGGTGAGCGGCATCACCTCGCCCACACCACAACCTCTCCCACTTTCCTTCCTCTAACCCGGCCACCACTGGTCCTGGGGCAACCCGGCCACCACTGGTCCTGGCAACCTGGCCACCATCAGTCCTGGGGCAACCCGGCCACCACTGGTCCTGGGGCAACCCGGCCACCACTGGTCCTGGGCAACCCGGCCACCACTAGTCCTGGTGCAACCCGGCCACCACTAGTCCTGGGGCAACCCGGCCACCACTAGTCCTGGGGCAACCCGGCCACCACTGGTCCTGGGGCAACCCGGCCACCACTGGTCCTGGGGCAACCCGCCACCACTAGTCCTGGTGCAACCCGGCCACCACTAGTCCTGGGGCAACCCGGACCACCACTGGTCCTGGGGCAACCCGGCCACCACTGGTCCTGGGGCAACCCGGCCACTACTAGTCCTGGGGCAACCTGGCCACCACTGGTCCTGGCAACCTGGCCACCACTAGTCCTGGGGCAACCCGGGATACCACTGGTCCTGGCAACCGGCCACCACTGGTCCTGGTGCAACCCGGCCACCACCAGTCCTGGTGCAACCCGGCCACCACTGGTCCTGGGGCAACCCGGCCACCACTGGTCCTGGGGCAACCTGGCCACCATTGGTTCCTGGGGCAACACGGCCACTGGTTCCCGGGCAACCCAGCCACCACTGGTCCTGGGGCACCCACACACACTGGTCCTGGGCAACCCGGCCACCACTGGTTCCTGGGGCAACCCGGCCACCACTGGTCCTGGGCAACCCGGTCACCACTGGTTCCTGGGGCAACCCAGCCACCACTGGTCCTGGGGCAACCCGGCCACCACTGGTTCCTGGGACAACACGGCCACCACTGGTTCCTGGGGCAACACGCCCACACACTGGTCCTGGGGCAACCTGGCCACCACTGGTCCTGGGGCAACCGGCCACCACCGGTTCCTGGGACAACCGGCCACCACCGGTTCCCTGGGCAACCCTGGCCACCACTGGTCCTGGGGCAACACGGCCACCATTGGTTCCTGGGACAACACGGCCACACACTGATCCTGGGGCAACCCAGCCACCACTGGTCCTGGGGCAACACGGCCACCACAGGTTCCTGGGACAACACGGCCACACACTGTCCTGGGGAAACCCGGCCACCACTGGTCCTAGAACCTGGCCACCACTGGTCTTGGGGCAACCTGGCCACCACTGGTTCCTGGGACAACACGGCCACACACTGGTCCTGGGGCAACCCGGCCACCACTGGTTCCTGGGGCAACCAGGCCACCACTGGTTCCTGGGACAACACGGCCACCACTGGTTCCTGGGACAACACGGCCACCACTGGTTCCTGGGACAACACGGCCACCACTGGTCCTGGGGCAACCAGGCCACCACTGGTTCCTGGGGCAACCCTGGCCACCACTGGTTCCTGGGGCAACACGGCCACCACTGGTTCCTGGGCAACACGGCCACCACTGGTTCCTGGAACAACACGGCCACCACTGGTTCCTGGGGAAACGGCCACACACTGGTCCTGGGGCAACACGGCCACCACTGGTCCTGGGGCAACCAGGCCACCACTGGTTCCTGGGACAACACGGCCACCACTAGTCCTGGGCAACCCGCACCACTGGTCCTGGGGCAACCGGCCACCACTGGTCCTGGGGCAACCTGGCCACCACTTCAGTCCTGGTGCAACCCGGCCACCACTAGTCCTGGGGCAACCCGGCCACCACTGGTCCTGGGGCAACCTGGCCACCACTGGTCCTGGGGCAACCTGGCCACCACTAGTCCTGGGGGCAACCCGGCCACCACTGGTCCTGGTGCAACCTGGCCACCACTAGTCCTGGGCACCCGGATACCACTGGTCCTGGGAACCTGGCCACCACTGGTCCTGGCAACCCGGCCACCACTAGTCCTGGTGCAACCTGGCCACCACTGGTCCTGGGGCAACCTGGCCACCACTGGTCCTGGGGCAACCTGGCCACCATTGGTTCCTGGGCACACGGCCACCACTGGTTCCTGGGGCAACCTGGCCACACACTGGTCTCTGGGCAACCCGGCCACCATTGGTTCCTGGGGCAACACGGCCACCACTGGTCCTGGGGCAACCCGGCCACCATTGGTTCCTGGGGCAACACGGCCACCACTGGTCCTGGGCAACCCGCACCACTGGTCCTGGGGCAACCTGGCCACCATTGGTTCCCTGGGCAACACGGCCACCACTGGTCCTGGGGCAACCCACACACTGGTCCTTGGGCAACCCGGCCACCACTGGTCCTGGCCAACCCAGCCACCACTGGTCCTGGGGCAACTCACACCACTGGTTCCTGGGACGGCACCACTGGTTCCTGGGCAACACGGCCACACACTGGTCCTGGGGCAACCTGGCCACCACTGGTCCCTGGGGCAACCCGGCCACCACTGTTTCCTGGGACAACTGGCCACCACCGGTTCCTCCTGAGACCTGGCCACCACTGGTCCTGGGGCAGCTCTCGGCCACCACTGGTCCTGGCAAGACGCACAGCCACCATTGGTTCCTGGACAACACGGCCACACACTGATCCTGGGGCAACCCAGCCACCACTGGTCCTGGGGCCACTGGCCACCACCGTTCCCTGGGACACCACGGCCTGGTCCTGGGGAAACCCGGCCACCACTGGTCCTGGGGCCTGGCCACCACTGGTTTGAAACCTGGCCACACACTGGTCCTGGAACGGCAGCCACCACTGATCCCTGGGCAACGGCCACACACTGGTCCTGGGGCAACCTGTGGTTCCGGGGCAGCACAGCCACCACTGGTTTCCTGGGGCAACGCCACCACTGGTTCCTGGGGCAACCCGGCCACCACTGGTTCCTGGGACAACACGGCCACCACTGGTTCTGAACCTGGCCACCACTGGTTCCTGGGGCCTGGCCACCACTGGTTCCTGGGGCAACCTGCCACCACTGGTTCCTGGGGCAACCTGGCCACCACTGGTTCCAGAACACGGCCACCTGGTTCCTGGGACACATAGCCACCACTGGTTCCTGGGGCAACCCGGCCACCACTGGTTCCTGGGGCAACACGGCCACCACTGGTTCCTGGGGCAACACGGCCACACACTGGTCCTGGGCCGGCCACCACTGGTCCTGGGGCAACACGGCCACCACTGGTCCTGGGGCAACCAGGCACCACTGGTTTCCTGGGACAACACGGCCACCACTGGTTCCTGGGACAACACGGCCACCACTGGTTCTGGGACAACACGGCCACCACTGGTCCTGGGGCAGCAAGGCCACCACTGGTTCCTGGGGCAACCTGGCCACCACGTTCCTGGGGGCCAAGGCCACCACTGGTTCTGGGACAACATAGCCACCACTGGTTCCTGGGGCAACCTGGCCACCACTGGTTCCTGGGGCAACACGGCCACCACTGGTTCCTGGGACAACACGGCCACCACTGGTTCCTGGGGCAACACGGCCACACACTGGTCCTGGGGCAACCCGGGCACCACTGGTCCTGGGACGCACGGCCACCACTGGTCCTGGGGCAACCAGGCCACCAGTTCCTGGGACAACACGGCCACCACTGGTTCCTGGGACAACACGGCCACCACTGGTTCCTGGGACAACACGGCCACCACTGGTCCTGGGGCAACCAGGCCACCACTGGTTTTGGGGCCCTCATGTATCACATCAGCACTGCCACCACTGGTCCTGGGGCCCGTGTACTACATGAGCACCCGGCCAACTGGTCCCAGGGCACCCGTGTAGCACATCAGCACCGGCCACCACTGGTCCTGAGGCCCCGTGCCACATCAGCACCCGGCCACCACTGGTCCTCAGGCCCCCGTGGTACCACATCAGCACCCCGGCCACCACTGGTCCTGGGGCCCCGTGTACCACATCGGCACCCCGGCCACTACTGGTCCTTGGGCCGTGTACCACATCACCACCCCGTACCATTGGTCCCAGGGCCCCCGTGTGCCATGCATTGGCCACCACTTGTCCCGGGCCCCGTGCCATCTCACCCCGGCCACCATTGGTCCCAGGGCCCCTGTGTACCACATTAGCACCCCGGCCACCACTTGTCCCAGGGCCCCGTGTACCACATCAGCATCCCGTGACCACTGGTCCGTGCCCCCGTGTACCACATCAGCACCCCCACCACTGGTCTTGGGCCCCTTGTACCACATCCACCCCGGCCACCACTTGTCCCAGGGCCCCGTGTACCACATTAGCACCCCGCCACCACTGGTCCTGCCCCCGTGTACCACATCAGCACCCCGGCCACCATTGGTCCCAGGGCCCCGTGTACCCATCAGCACCCCGGCCACCACTGGTCCCAGGGCCCCGTGTACCACATCAGCACCCCGGCCACCACTGGTCTGGGTCCCTGCTTCCCGCAGAACATCCCGGCCACCAGTGGTCCCAGGGCCCCGTGTACCACATCAGCACCCCGGCCACCACTGGTCTGCCCCGCCTTTACATTGCATTCCCGGCCTCCATTGGTCCCAGGGCCCCGTGTACCACATCAGCACCCCAGCCACCATTGGTCGGGCCCTGTATGCCACATGCACCCCGGCCACCACTGGTCCTGCCCCCCCGTGTACCACATCAGCACCCCCGACCACCATTGGTCCCAGGGCCCGTGTGCCACATCAGCTGCCCAGCCACCTGGTCCCAGGGCCCGTGTACCACATCAGCACCCGGCCACCACTGGTCTGGGTCCCGTGTACCACATGAGCACCCTGCCTCCATTGGTCCCAGGGCCCCCGTGTACCACATCAGCACCCCGGCCACCACTGGTCTGCCCCGTGTACTACATTAGCACCCGGCCACCTGATTGGGGCCCCCCGTGTACCACATCAGCACCCCAGCCACCATTGGTCCGGGGCCCCGTGTACCACATCAGCACCCTGCCTGCCACTGGTCCTGGGGCCCCGTGTACCACATCAGCACCCCAGCCACCATTGGTCCCAGGGCCCCGTGTACCACATCAGCACCCCTGCCACCATTGGTCCCAGGGCCCCGTGTGTACCACATCAGCACCCCGTACCACTGGTCCCAGGGCCCCGTGTACCATGAGCACCGGCCACCACTGGTCCTGGGTCCCGTGTACCACATGAGCACCCCGCCACCATTGGTCCTGGGGCCCCGTGTCCACATCAGCACCCCGGCCACCACTGGTCCTGCCCCCCCCGTGTACTACATTAGCACCCCGGCCACCATTGGTCCCAGGGCCCGTGTGCCCATCAGCACCCCGGCCACCACTGGTCCTGCCCACCCCCGTGTGCTACATTAGCACCCGGCCACCATTGGTCCCAGGGCCCCCGTGTACCACATCAGCACCCCGGCCACCACTGGTCCTGCCCCCGTGTTGCTACATTAGCACCCCGGCCACCACTGGTCCTGCCCCCGTGTACTACATTAGCACCCCGGCCACCACTGGTCCTGCCCCCCCGTGTACTACATTGCACCCCGGCCACCACTGGTCCTGGGGCCCCGTGTCCACATCAGCACCCCGGCCACCACTGGTCCTGGGGCCCCGTGTACCATCAGCACCCCGGCCACCATTGGTCCCAGGGCCCCGTGTGCCACATCAGCACCGGCCACCACTGGTCCTGGGGCCCCGTGTACCCATCAGCACCCCGGCCACCACTGGTCCTGGGGCCCCCGTGTACCACATCAGCACCCCGGCCACCACTGGTCCTGCCCCCCCCATGTACCACATCAGCACCCCGGCCACCACTGGTCCTCAGGCCCCGTGTACCACATCAGCACCCCGGCCACCACTGGTCTCCCCGTGCTACATTAGCACCCCGGCCTGCACTGCCCCCCCCCGTGTACTACAGCACCCCGGCCACCACTGGTCCCCCCCCCGTGTACTACATTGCACCGGCCACCACTGGTCCTGGGGCCCCCATTGTACCACATCAGCACCCGGCCACCACTGGTCCTGGGGCCCCCGTGTACCACATTAGCACCCCGGCCACCACTGGTCCTCAGGCCCCGTGTACCATGAGCACCCCGGCCACCACTGGTCCTCAGGCCCCCGTGTACCACAGGCACCCGGCCACCACTGGTCCTCGGGCCCCCGTGTACCACATAGGCACCCCGGCACCACTGGTCCTCGGGCCCCGTGTACCACATGAGCACCCTGCCACCACTGGTCCTCCAGGCTCCCGTGTACCACGCAGGCACCCAGCCACCACTGGTCCTCGGGCTCCGTGTACCATGAGCACCCCATACCACTGGTCCTCCGGCCCCGTGTACACATCAGCACCCCGGCCACCACTGGTCCTCGGGCCCCGTGTACCACATCAGCACCCCTGCCACCACTGGTCCTGCCCCGTGTACCACATCAGCACCCCGGCCACCATTCCGGGCCCCGTGTACCACATGAGCACCCCGGCCACCACTGGTCCTCGGGCCCCGTGTGCCACATGCGCACCCCGGCCACCACCACTGGTCTGGGGCCCCGTGTACCACATCAGCACCCGGCCACCATTGGTCCCAGGGCCCCGTGTACCACATCAGCACCCCGGCCACCACTGGTCCTGGGCCCCCGTGTACCCCATGAGCACCCGGCCACCACTGGTCCTGGGGCCCGCGTGTACCACATGACAGGCACCCCGGCCACCACTGGTCCTCAGGCCCCCGTGTGCCACATCAGCACCCCGGCCACCACTGGACCGCACAGCCGAGTTCAGAGCTCCACACAGGACAACAGTGCCTCATCTTCCTCTGACACACAGCATCATCTTCAAGTGAAAGTCTGCCTTCTAAGGCCAGCGTCGTCTTCACCTGACAGCTGGCTGGCTTGACTCCACCTTCACCTGGCTGCCACCCTCACCTTCACCTGGCTGCCACCCTCACCTTCACCTGTCGAGCGCCGCTCTCATAAATCTCTCTCATCAGCCACTATCAGATGCATGAGAGAGAGACATAAATTTCCAGTCTATTTTGGACCTGGTGTGAGGTGCGCTGTTGGGCTCAAAAAGTACCGGGGTTAGAGGCGCTTGGGGACGGGGGTCAGGAGTGATGGGGTCAAGACTAATGGGTGTCTGGAGTAATGGGGTCAAGAGTGATGGGGTCAGCAGGTGATGGGTAAAAATGGGATCAAGAGTGTTGGGGGTCAAGACTAATGAAGTCAAAAATTATGAGGTTAACAGGTGATGGGGCAAAGAGTAATGGGGTCAAAACTAATGGGGTCTGGAGTAATGGGTCAAGAGTGATGAGGTCAAGAGTGATAGGGTCAAGACTAATGAAGTAAAAAATGATGGGGTCAAGAGTAATGGGGTCAATACTAATGGGGTCAAGAGTGATGGGGTCAACAGGTAAAGAATGTTTTAATCATGAATGTTGAACTTATGAATGTGGGGATCTGAAGTGTTATAGCAACTGTATTAGTGTTGTAGTCTTTAATGTTGTTAGTCCTCAGTGTTGTAGTCCTTAGTTATAGTTATTAGTGTTGTTATTATAGTTATTAGCTGTAGTTATTAAAGTTGTTAATTCTGATTTTTTTACGGAGGCGAAAATATAATAATAATAATAATAATAATAATAATAATAATAATAATAATAATAATAATAATAATAATAATAATAATAATAATAATAATAATAATAATAATAATAATAATAATAATAATAATAATAATAAATAATAATTAATAAACAATTATATAAAAAATATTAAATAAAAATATAATATAATATAATATAATATTATTTTTAATCATAATAAATCACAAAAAAAAATAAATACAAATACTTAAAAAAAGATCAGTAGTGAGAAAGGATATACAGATGTACTGTATGTTGTGTTGTCAAAATAAGAGAAACACTTAAGACCCTGCAATTGTGTGTAAATGAGGCAGAAAGTCAGATCAGCAACCTGGGACTTGGTCACATATGGCAGCAGGGTCTACCATTACACAATACATTATGCTTCCAATATCTTCGCAGGCGGTAGTACCTCCCTGTTAATTATTAATTGAAGTTATTAGTGTTGTTAGTTATTGATTGTTGTGTTTAGTCTTGTAGTTATTAATTGTATTTTTAGTGTTGTAGCTGGGAATGATGACGTCAGGGGTGTTATGATCAAGGTACTGTGATCAAGCTGCAGGGTTCAGGAGAGTTTAATTTTGGACTACAGATAAAGGGTATTTAGCCTCTCGTAGTACCTGTCGCATATATGTAATGAAGACAAGACAGTGCTATACGTGTGGTCGGTGAGGTGGGTGGAGTCAGGTGCCGTATTATTATTTCACCTTATCGAAAGTAAATTATTTCATCTTAATAACGAATGATAACAAAATGAACTAAATATTAAGGAACATTAAAGACATATTTCCTTTTGTTCAGATCCACAGGAAGTTTGTTTTTTATAGACGCAGTTAAAACTTAGAACAGTTTGAGTGTGTTAGATATTGTATTACTTCGTCAAGAATCCAGCGGTACGTGATACAATTCTTATTATCCCACCGACACTGACCCAAGGCTTTGATAAAATACCTTAGAACTGTACCCAACTAACCTCTGTGGTAATGAAAGTCAATTAAGAGTGTAAAATGTCACATCAGTATGAATTTGAATCGAGTTAGACTGGCAGAATGTACACCGTCTCTTGTTTTTTTAATCTGTTTTTGTTTTTTGCTTATCTAATCCACAGTTAATTTTGGAGTGGATATCTAAGGCAATTAGTAAGTCAAAGTGATGTGTTATTTGGGAATTATCAAGACGTGTAAAGATGATAATGAGGGCGGAGGTGCTAATTATATGACCACATGATGTCGGTGTGGGTGAGTCAGGTAACTGCTGCATTGATCGCGTGTCATCGTGGTTAACAGAGATAGATGTGCAATTTTTTGTTGTCATTTTTGACCAATTGCACGGGAGGTCATAGGTCACCAGCAGGTCATGTGAGTCATCTGAAAGATGTGTTGTACTTGCTTGTGAAAGTTGGTCTCTTTAATTCATTTTGATTTCTAGTTCTTACATAACACAGGCAAGAGTCGTACAGTGTTTATTACTGTTAACACCACACCTCTCATCTCAACTTCGTCCTGGGCGTATTTCCACCACCTGCCTCTTAACATCATGGTAAAATCTGTCTTTAACTCTTTGAAAATCTGTCATGAAATCTCTGAAGGCAGAGACACACTTAGATTACCATTACTTTTCTGCTACTATTTTCAGTATAAGAATGTACCTTAAGTGTTTATGTTTTTCAATACCCAAATCGCTCATCTCCCAGTCTTGGTTTCATAACTCGCCTCGCTACTGCCTGGTGAGGTTTGTCTGTATGACTTACAAGGGAGTCACATCACAGTTGTCATTATATTCTTGATTTAAGGCCAGATTGACTTAGTGAGGGAAAGCTTAAGACAGCGAAAGAAATTGAGGAAAACTCTCTTAGGATTAACTTGTAGAGTTATATAGAATGCACGTGTGTATGTGTTTGTGTACGAGTGTGTGTGTTTGTGTGTGTGTAATAATAATAATAATAATTAATGGTTTATTGAAAGAGCTTGGCGGCCAGAAGGCTGAAAATATACAGTTACATATTTGGGGAATGGGTTTCGAGTTACAGTACAAATAATATACAAGTAACATAAGTGATACAAATAAGATATATAATAACTAGATGGGGAAAAGCTCAAACTACAGTTCATTTCAACATAGTGACAAGTGTGTGTGTGTGTGTGTGTGTGTGCGTTCTAGGGATGAAATTTTGATTTTATCAAAATGAATGGACGACTATACGGTTATCTAATTTACAAACCTTATTTACCTTATCTTACCCCTAACTTCATTTATCTAAATTTTGGGTACATTAAGACAAGAAATATGTCCTCAATGATACAGAACCAACTTTAATATACACGGACTATAGCTTACAGTTAGTTTCAACAATACAAAAAAAATCCCTCTGTAATAAAACAGTTCATAGGTGTATGTATTTTTCACCTACATGGACGGCAGGTTAAGATGTTCTGATACTAACCATTGTTTACCTATTCCAGTATTGATGTTTTGTCATGGTTCAATATATAAATAAAAAACTAAATAAATAATACAATTTTTGTCTTCTGAGTGTTTCCTGTAATGTATTGACCTTAAGTTTATCTGTAGTCTCATTCAACACGTAAACACAACAGTTGTACAGTATATACGTTCACTCACTAGTAATCTTTCTTGACGAGTAATTCCTGCATTGAGTTCCTCGCCCTCGTGTATACATAATCCTTGAAAAATATCCGTAAAACTATATCTCTCGGATTAAGATCTGGAGAATTATAGTGTCCATGACCATTTATAGCGCCCAAGTGTCGATTTGAGAGTACACGATCATGCCAATACTCACGCACGTAATCCAAAACTATATTTGTGGTGTGTGTGGTCTTGCTCCATCTTGTTCAGGGAGAGAGAGAGAGAGAGAAGAAAAAAAAATCCCCAAAATTAATCGCCATGACTTGGAAGAAGGGAATAAAAGTTGTGTTGAAGAAGGTGAAGATAACGATCAACATTCACTTCATCAAGAAAGATCGGTTCAATGATTCCAGCGCTTGGAAACACCTCACTCACACACACACACACACACACGCACGCACACTCAAACACACACACACACACACACACACACACACACACACACATCATTTGAGAGGCTATGAAGGTGTGTGTCCGTGATTTCAGAGGTATTAACCGTGCGCTTGAATACACACCAACTTGAGATCTGCTTACTTGAGTGAAAAGTACCAAACATACGTATATCAGCAAAGTACATATCACACTATAAATATACCTCATCTCAGACAACATAAATGCTCTCATCTATATCACCTTCTGGGTTTATGGGATAATTTTGAGTACACCTCAGCTAAGAACTTCCCTGAGAGGTTGTGAAGGAGAATCTATACAGTCTTTGGATTTCAATGTATGTTTACGTTCTACATCTCACAAGTATTAAGTTAGTGAAGAATAATTAGGATTAAAGGAGGTGAAATAAGTTAGAGAACTTTGTGTGTGTGTGTGTGTGTGTGTGTGTGTGTGTGTGTGTGTGTGTGTGTGTGTGTGTGTGTGTGTGTGTGTGCAGCCAGGGAACCATGCACCGTCTAGTCCGTGTTCTCAATATATAACCATAGGTGGTACTGTACCTCATCTATTTGTTTGTGTATAGTTCATGAATTAGTCATTTGGCTCAGTTCATGAAATGGAATCCTGATCCTATCCATCCATCAATCAAATCTAACCTAACCTAACCTAACGTAACCTAACCTTATTCACGAATTAGGCAAATACTGTGACCTAACCTAACACAACCTTACCTAACCCAACTTAACCTATAGATTAGGCTGGTTGGGTTGGGTTGTGTTGGATTAATCTAGAAGTCATTTTACGAACTGGCCAAAATGACTACCCAGTTCATGAGCTTAGCCATTAAAAAAAAATGGAAGAAAGAAGATAGGACGGGACTGTCAATAGTGGGCGTCTTGGGGGCACAACAGGCTGACATAATCTGAGACAGGTGTTCCACTTCAGCAGGTCCCACTACTGCTGATCCGCCTTTACGTGGGAGTAGATGGAGGATGAAAGGAAGACTTTTGGCATCAAGAACG